CACTCATCCATTTCTTCGCCCATATATACCAAGCACCTACTGGGAGTCAGACAATGTGCTGGTACTGGGTATATAGTGGTGAATAATAGATGTAATCCCCACTTTGTAGAACTTACGGTCTAATGTAGGGGAACTGGCATTTAATAAATAGTGCACAAGTAACATCTGTCATATATTGGAAGACTTGCCTGGGGGATGGGGGGCAGGGAGAACTTCTTAAGGAAGAGATAGCAAGTGGGTCCACAGAAACAGGGCTTTTTGTCTGTTCTGTTCAATGATATAGCCCCAAGCACCTCAAATGGCATGGGACAGGTTGTAGGTGCTCAAGAATATTTGTTGACAGAGGGGAATTTGAACTAAGACATTGGAGTTCGCTGGGTATCCAGAAAAGGTTGTAACCACCATAGGAAACCTAATGTTTGAAAGCTTCCAGGCAGCAGGCAATGTACCACTTTTGGGAACCAAAAAAATGTCGAAATGGCTGAAGGCCAGTGGGCAAGGGAGAGCAATAGAGAGGACGCTGAGTGCGAGCAGAGGGCCAGCCACATGGGGCTGCACCCAGAAGCTGTCTTGGTGAGGAGAGAAAGCAGGGGTCCTTCCAGTTCTTAGGGAAGCCTTGCCACTGCCCCCATCACCATGGCAACAGCAGGGATGCCAGGGATGGCTCAAGCAGTGCCCAGAGACATCTGGGCTGGGAACAGAGACAAGGAGGAACGGAAAAGGAATGTCAGCATCTGTGGTCACATGTACTAACCAGGAAGGTCTGTTTCATATCTAACCTTTCTGACACTCCTTCCTCTGTGCTTTCCAAAAATAAATATAGAAAATAAATCCAATCATGAAATCAAACCAAAAAGCAAAATGCACTTTGGGGAAACACCTTCCTAAATGCCTGTCTTACCTGCTGTCTGTCTCTTTCCTCTGCATTCCTGGGGGCCACCACCTGATGCATAATTTGCTCAGCTTCATTTTTGTGTGTGTGTGTGTGTGTGTGTGTGTGTGTGTGTCCACCTATGTTAGGGTTGGGGCCCAGCATCATCATAGGATCACACGGCTCATGGACCACAATGTGGTCCTGGAGCTGCACAACCCCACAGGATAGAGCTGGTGGAGTCTGACACTACAGTTGTGATCTTAGAAGGGGACCCCAGAATAAAGGCAATGTATGGTGGCATTTCAAATTCTCTAGGTGGGAGAATATTCAATAGTATCTCCTCTTGTAAGCCCCACAGGCTGCCACTTGCTTGGCTGATGCTTAAAGCCAACATTGTCCAGCAGTATGAGGGGGGTTCCATACCTTCTGTCCCAGCTTGGGCCACTGAAGCATCAAAGCTTCCAGCAAATCAGCTCTAGCTCTCTTGGCGACTTTGAAGAAGAAAGCTTAAGAACATGGGACTCAGGCTGGATGGGGCTTGAGTCCCGCTGTCGGGTCTGCTTAAATTTGGCAATATTATCCACCTTACCTTTTATAGTACTTATAACTTCAGCTTTCCAACAATGTTGTCAAGAATTCCTTTAAAAAACATTGTAGGAGTCTCTCTGCTGTTACAGCAAATGGGTAAGTCCATATGGATACAAAAAATTCTCTCTAGAGGAGAAAAAATATTGATAACAAGAATCTCAAATTCTTCCAGTGACTATCTTTCCAACTGCCTAGGATAGTTCATGTTCTTGTTGTTTTCTGGCTTCTCAACTTTTCCCTTGAAGCAAAGAGAGAAGCCTAGGAAGGGAGTTATAACTAAAGTTGCAAACGTCAGTCCTTATTCTGGAGGCTCCCATCATACACCCTCACAGTTGAGCTCTGCAGAGTATCCCCTTGAAGAGATGGCAGTCATTAGAGGAGGAAACTCCAGTGGGGATCGTCATTGTCAGAGAGGCTGAATGAATGCCTTTGTGTGCGAACATAACACAGGCTTTGGGGTCAGACAAACCTGGATTCAAATCCTGATCCTGCCATTTACTAAATTATGATCTTCAGCAAGTGGGCTAATCTGTAAAATGGGCATTATAACAACCAATGCGTAGAGTAGTGGTTGTCACTAACTGTGAGGATATAAGTGTGATGCTAAGAAAGATCCAATCACTGGCAGTTTTTGTACTGTGTTGTCATTTTTGATGAGAATGTCTCTGAGGAATAGTTCTAAGGCCATGACATGCCCAAAGCTGTGTCTGGGGCTGAACCCTTGGAAAACAGAGAATTAGACCAGCTCCTCTGGGCTGCCTTCCTTTCCTGCTCCTGGCTTTCCTGTCAAGTGCTGCTGTCCAGGACTCCGGGGCCTCTCCATCACCCGATCTCATACCTGCCCCTCACCAACCCCTCTCTTGAAAAGATACTGATTCATTCACACCAAGGCAGCTCTAGGAGGAGGGGAAACAGCGGTGAGAAAACAGCGTGGTCCTTCTCTCATGGAGCAGCCAGCCTCCCGGGCAGGGCGCACTGTAAACAAGTATCGCTCCACCAAACATAGCTCACAAACGTGATAAGCGCCAACTTATACCTATCGAGTAGGTGTAAGCCTGACAAGCCTGACACTGACTCACTGTGCTCTTTTTAGAAGGCCGAGGCTCTTTTTGAGTCATTGCCATGTGTACATGCTGGAACCCATAAGCCACCACAAAGAGACAGCAGAATATAAATGCAAAATAAAACGAAACAGCAGATCCTGGATATTCCCCAGAGTGCAGTGAATCCTCAGTTTTGGAAATACCACTAGAACATATCATTTCACCCACAAAACAAATACACAGAAAGGAACAGGAGAATGGGGTAATTTGTAGACGAAGGCCAAGAGCTAGACGTGCTCACCAGCTTGGTGACTAGTTCCCACACACAAGCTGTGCAATTCAGTTTTGTGGCTCAGCCAGTTTACGGTCCGTAGCTCATGGGTCTTCTGGGTTGCTCATGGATTTCTACTCTGCAGTTCCAGGGATAGCAGGTATGGAAGTGCAAGGCACGTCCCAGAAGCATGGATTACCAGGAAAGCAAAGCCAAGCAGGTAAGTTTGAATGTTTAATACTCAATTCAGAATCCTGCAAGACTTTGCCCTCCCCATGTGGTGACAGCGGGAATGAAGGCAACAGCTCCAATGAAGGCAACAGCTCCAATGAAGATGACAGCTCCATCATCCTCTGCCTGTGTTTGTCACGCCATAGTGTTAATTTCCACAGAAGATGTAACTCAATATTGCCCTTCCTTTCTCTCTCCAATTCCTGATATTCTAGCAATGAGTATGTGATTATTATATGCCAGGCACCTCTAGGACTTTTCACAAACATTATCTGTATCTGTTTTTGTGTGTTGTTCTTTTTTGTTTTTGTATCTCAAAAGCTGTTTGTGGGTATGGCTAAAGAGCTGAACCCCAATTCTAGACCACTGTTGACCATTAATATATAATTTGGGAGATTTCTGCAAGTAGTAAACAAAATACTTTACACCAAGAAACTAGATTTGGCAAATAGTTTCATATTCTAAAATCTCTGACCAAGGCAAAGAGCTACATTCTAACTAATCCAGAATTATACAAGATTAAAGATAATTAAGAATGTGATTAATATTAAAATCATTCTCAGCTCTGTTTACTGTCATAGCTGGAATGTCAGAGGCATGGCAAAATCCACCGGAAAAGAAGAAGCTAGACAAGGAAGGTTTCTATTACAGGATATCCTGAGCTTCCCAAGCTACAAGATATCTGATGCACCTGTGAGGAAATAGTGACAATTTCTTGTCACATAATGCTAAGCTCTGTTACTATTTCCATCTTTGTCAAATATTCAGTTGAATCAGATAAAATGGCAATTGTTATGAGTAAAGCATGGCTAAATGTTGGCTATTTCATATGGTTCTACCTATATATCGATGTGTTAGAAAGACACCCTCCTCCTAAAGGCTACAATTAAACTGCTGGGTGATTATAAAAATGGAGTCATTTATAGACAAAGCATCAGTAAATTCTGAAACTCAGAAGAAAATCTCTGTAAGGCTCTCTCAAAGGAATCTCACAAGCTTGATGATGACATACAGAAGAAAGGATCAAGTTAGAAGAAACACCCCATTGCCCTGGCCGGGTGGCTCCACTGGTTGGAGCATTGTCCCATACACCAAAAGGTTGTGGGTTTGGTCCCCGGTGAGGATGCATGCAGGAGACAACCCCAGTCAGGAGGGGACATGCAGGAGGCAACCAGTAGACGTTTCTCTCTCACAATGCAATACGTTTCTCTCTCTCTCTTAAAAAATCAATCAAAGCATATCTTTGAGTGAGGATTACAAAAAAAAATTTTTTTTAAAGAAACCCCCATCAGCAGGCTAACCCCTACAAGCCTTTTGCTTTGGCTTCAGTTAGGATTTCTTCTGCACAATCCCCTTATAGAGGCAGATGGGGACCAGGGGAGGTTTAATTCCAAATTGACTCATCTCAAAACCTCCATGAAAGGTAGCAGGTTATCCTTACAATATTGAAGGAAACCCAGGTTGTATGCCTTTCTCCACAGGCCTTCCTGTTCCTACAGGGGAAAGTGGGAGAACGATGAGATTTAGTTTTGGTTTGGCCACCCCATCCAACCCTACGTGACTGCTACCATGCTTACACCAATGTGGGAATCCCTGTCACTCATTAAATCTACTCCATAGGAAAAACCAACTCATGTCAAAGTGCTATCGTTTGCATTGTGAGTGGAGGAGAAGACATTCCTGGCTATCTTTGGGCAAGGTACTTTATTCCCCGGAGCCTCAGTTTTCCTTTCAGTAAAATGGGTATACTGATTCCCTTCTTGAAAGCCTATAAAGGCCTAGAAAGAAACTAGTATTTGCACTCTTAAAAAACCACACAGCACTGGGCTAGATTATTTTCCATACACTATTATTTCAGTTCATTTTCACCGTTAGAGATGGGGAAATGGAGGCACAGAGTGCCTTCCTGAAATCGCAGTTGTAAAGTGGCAGAATTGGACTTTGAACACTTAATGGAAAACGTTTTAAAGTTATGAACATGGAGATTGAACAACCAAAGAGCAAGAGCTTCACTAATGCGGGAGAAAAATAACCACTGTTTGGTCACTGTCCTTGCCCTTGTCCTTCAGCAGTGTGAAAAGGCAAGTAACCAATCCATCCAAACCAAATCCAGTCTTTACATCAAATGGACAAAGGACACTTCACAGAGGAAGAAGTCGCTCCTCGCACATCCTTTGGACATGTTTTGTGGAAGATATTTATGTTCTTTACAGTGTTTTAAATCTTCAGGTGCAGGAGGAGATATTTAAGGCAATATAAACACAGGCATTATTTCAAACTCAAAATGTTCCCAAAACAGGTATCTTTCAAGCCAACATGACAGTGCTTATGATTTCTGAGGAAATTCATGACACTTATAAAAACAGAATAGCTTGGGGCTGAAAAACCTCAAATGTGTGCAGGGGGCAGGGAGGTAACAAATGACTGAAATGGTCTGGGTATAAGGCAATAGGGAATGGTGGGGAGCATGACAAACACACCCCATACCTACCTAAAGGGGCAGCTGCTACCTATTTTTCACCAACTTTTGCCTGGGGAGTGACAACCCAAGGTTGCCAGGTTATCAGATCTTTTCTTTAAAAAGCTGGAAGAACAATTTTTATGAGGTATATGGATCTTCATCTAACTATTGGCATCTGTTTAGTTGTTTTTGTTTTAAACTAAGGGACCCGAACTAAGCTTGTTGGCCACCACTCTCTACCTTTTGCTTAAGTGGGAACCTTGGCTCACACATTCACCTACTGATCAGCTTCCAACATGCAGACGCCATAGGCTAACCATACCTTAACAAAGTGCAAACAGGAATTCATTGCTAATTCTGTTTCATGAAAAATAAATTAAAATAAACACACATACAGAAGACACCCCTTTGATGCTAGGCTGAACCATCAGAATTCCATCAAGACATATGCAGGGAGGTGGATCCCAGCATGAGGCCCAGATGGCTTAGATATTAAACCATAATCTACATGGTTCTAAATCACCATCCAATTTTCTCTTTCAGCTCAAGATTTGTAGCTATTCTCCCCCTGCCCATCCTCACATTTGCTAAGCTCTTTAACCTTATTGACACCATGTTGCCACTCACAACAACACCTCAGTCCCAAGGTAAGTGTGATGGGAATATCTTGGAGCATCTACCAGGTGCCAGGTGGTGTGGGCAGATGGACAGATGCGACCCCACCCTCAAAGAAGTTAATGTCTAGTGGGATGCAGACAGTGAAGTACAATGTGCTAAGCTAAAGGATTATCACTGCAGTTTTTCAATGGAGGACCCAGGGTCACAGAGGTTAAGTGAGCTGGAAGAGGTAGAGGGGCCCATGCAGACCCTCAGACAAAAGCACGTGCACAATTCAGACCTATCAACTTAGATCTTCCTACAGTTCCAGACAAGAGGATGTCCAAAGCATCCTAACCTTTCCAAAAAGCAACTGATGGGCTCATTCAAAATATTTAGTTAAATTTAAACAATCCCTCTAGCAACCTTGTTAAATTAAAAACATTTTAAACAACTTTGCAAACTAACGTAAGTTTAAATGCATGTTTTTGCAGGCATGTTTCAGAAGAGGCTTTTTGTACTTGGCTCTAAAACAACGTTGGCAAAATGTGGTCACCGGACCAACAGCATCAGCCTCACTCAAGAGCCTGTTAAAAAATGCAAATTCTCCGGCTCTTCCCCAGAGTTACCGAATCAGGGGGGACCCAGCAACCTCTTAGTGAGCTCTCCACACTAAAGCTGGAGAAGCATAGCTGGAGGCTTTGCCAAACCAAACACTTCACTTGTTAATGAAAATAATGTCATTTTGGTATCTTTTCCAGACACCTTGGTGACTAAGTTAAAATATAAAATTGTGAGAGAAGAGACTAGTTTGAGAGAATTTCTTGGCTTAGGATGACTCAAGTTTCTCTAAAGCATTTAAAAAGTAAATAGTGTATTTGACATTAAAATTTGATACGTAACATCACCCGCATTCTCTAGGAAGCTCTTGGATAGCTGGACCCTTAACTGTTTAGCTCATTCATCAAAGAAGCATTAGCCTAGCACTTCCCATGTATTTAGCACCAGGTGCTGGGAAGATGGAAATTTTTATTGAACTAAGAGATGAAAAAAACCACTTATATGTATTACAAAAATTTGATATTATTAAACAGTATAGATGATAAACCTCTCACAAAATTTATTCATATGTCATATTAATTACAAGACAAACACATTCTTAGGAAACATAGTACCCACATGTGAGTTTACATTTGCATCGAAGAGGTCAGGAATACCTGCTATTCACTTCTAATTACCAGATGAAATGGCACTTGCCACTCACATGACAGCTCAGTGCCACTCACAATACAGGCAAAGCTGGGCCTCTGTCCTCCCTGCTTCTCTACAATGACTCTTCTCTGAAGAGTTCTAACAATGGAGACAACCTGCAGTCAGCTTAAAAACCCAAAGGCCCCACAGTAGCAAGATGAACCTCTGCTATAAACCCAGATAGCTTACCATCTAATATAGTAGAAGTTACTTTGTTTGAATCCTTGAGCGTATGAGTTTCCTACTGCTGCTATAACAAAATATACTTCGTGGCATAAAACAACATACATTTATTATCTTATAGTTCTGGAGATCAGAGGCCCAAAATCAGTTCACTGGGCTGACATCAAGGAGTTGGCAGGCTGCATCCATTCTGAAGGCTCCAGAGGAATCTTTCTAGAGGCCACCTGCATCCTTGACTTGTGGCCCCTTTCTCTATCTTTAAAGCCAGCCAAATAGCATTCTTCCAATGCCTGCCTGTCTCTCTCTCTCTCTCTCTCTCTCTCTCTCTCTCTCTCTCTCTCCCTCTCTCCTTCCATAATCACATCTTCTCTCTCACTCTCCTATCTCCCTCTTACAAGTATCTCTGTGATCACATTGAACCCACCCAGAGAATCCAGGATGGTCATCCCATCTCAAAATCCTTAATTATAACTAAAAAGTCTCTGTTATCATATACAGTAACATACACAGGTTCCTGTAGGTATTAGGAGGTGAACATTCTGGGGGTGGGATTGCGGCACATTGTTTAGCCTACCCGACTGAATGCGTACTTTCTGAGCATGAAAAAAAACTTTCTAATGCACAAGTCAATAGTTAGAGTATATGTGACTTGTAAGCAGGGAAGGGAACGACCATGGAGAGGACACTCATCATGAGCAAGGTTTATGCCAGGTGCCTTTTGTGCCATCTCTCATTCATCCCTCCAACAACCCTAGGAGGCAGCTGCCATCATTATCCCCCTCTTACAGCTGAGGAAAAGGACTCCTCGAGTCGGTCACTTGCCAGCACACATGCCCAGTATGTGAGGTCCAGATCTGCCTGATTCCAGAGTCCCTGCTTATTCTTCATCCCAAATCTGCTTCCCATGATGTAATGAATTATCCCAAGCCTCAGCCCACACCTATATGAGGGGCTAGTTACTAGTATAACAAATGTAATTTTTGTACCTCCACATCACAGTCAGCATTTTTTCCTTCTTCAACTGATTTCCTTATATGTAGAATAGCCTAACCGTTAAGGGAATGGACTCTAGAGCCAGGCTTCCAGGGTTCAAACCTTGCTTGTCACTTAGTAGCTGTGTGACCTCAGACAAGTTACTCAACCTTTTTCTGCCTCAGTTTCCTATCTGTGAAATGAAATGATAATGGTTTTATGAAGATAAAATCAGTTAATGCAGGTAAAATGTCTAAAACAGTGCCCAGCTATAAGTGTATATGATAACTGTTTGCCATTATTATTATTATTATTATCTATCATAATAAAAGGGTAATATGCTAATTAGACGAGATGAAGCCAGGGCCGGAGGGAAGCCAGCCTGGGTCCCAGGTGGCAGAGGGAAGCCAGAGGGAAGCCAGCCTGGGTCCCAGGTGCCAGAGGGAAGCTGGTGCCGGCAGCTGGGGGAAGGAAGGCCTACTCTTGCACAAATTTCATGTATTGGGCCTCTAGTTATTATATAAAAACATGGACAGAACTGGGGCCAATGACAATAACCCTAGGCTCTCCAGCAGAAGGGAAAAGATAAGATGTTGTTTAGTATGACTCACAGACCCTGGCAGAGCACAGAGCACAGCAGAGACATCAGGGTCTAAGTTCTCCAGACCCTTTAATGGAATGAACAGAATATATTTCTCATTCCATAGGGTTGTTATGAGAATAAAAGAGTCAAAACACATAAAGCACTTAGAAGAGTGTCTTGCCATTTTTATTATCAATATTAATTTCTGGAAATTATAAAGATACCTAAAAACGCTTACCCTCAAGCAACAGAAAAAAGCCAATAAACTGAAAATTAACTGAAGTGTCCCATTTGGGTCCTATGGATAAACCAAGGAAGAAAGGAATTAAGAGAAGGAAAGATACTTTCAGAATAGTGCTCAATATTCACTGCTTAAAGCCCATACAGAACTACCAAACTAATCCCACTGCTCAAATCACTGCTCAGCTATAGATATGATGTGAGAACAATGGTTATGTTCAGTCCTCTAGCCACATGGCAAAGTCCAGGCAGCTCTCTCCGTGGTCTTTCTAGCCACCCATCTACCCATCCAACATTTGTTAAATACCTACTATATGCCAGTCATGCAAGTCATGGGTGTTTACCCAGGACATCCAGGTGAAAGACATGGTGTCTCCTTCAAGAATGTAAGTAAAAAGACAACCACAAGAGAGTGTGTTATGAGAAAAGCAGGCACAGGACATCAGGGGACACAAAAGACAAGTGGCACCTAAGTATCTCAACTACTTCAAGTAACAATTGACCTGAATATTAAAGGTTACGATATCTAGGTGGGACGATTGTAAGGTCTTCCTGGCAGACTGGACAGCATGCCATAAAGTACAAAGGCATGAATGCACACAGCCTTCTTGGGGCACCCCAAGTTCTAGTATGTCTGCGGTATAGAATCCGAATGGCCAAGTGGCAAGACATTATAGTAACTGGATCATGAAGGCCCTTCCCTCTCTTGTGTGGTCAAGTATTTGGAGAAGGAAATGGGGAATCAGTGATGGGGTTAAATAGAGGTGTGACCAGGGAGGCAGAGAGACGGATGTGGAGGTTGTCACCATCTTTGAAAGGCAGTGACGGTGAATATATCACCTTGAGTAGGAAATAGTGGGTGCTTCCTGCTGATCTTGGCCCTGGACACTTTCCACTTTGCTTTAAATTCGAAGTGGCCTGTGGGCTTTACCTCATGCCTTTCTGGAGCTGTAACATATGTGCACCCTTAGGGTCATGTAAAAATAGGCCTAGGGGCCCAGGGCAGAAGCACCTCAGCTGCCCAAGGATCTCAGGCACTGCCCAGGCATGTGGCTGGCTTTCTGGCAGCTGTTGGGAGGGCTCAAGGTCATTGGGCCCAGAAACCTGATCCTGTTGCAGACGGCCTTCCCTTGGCCCAAGAGGCTCCATGGAGATACTTAGGTGCCACTTGTCTTTTGTGTCCCCTGGTGTCCTAGCGCCAGGCTCTTCACGGCCATCTCAATAAGCTGCCTTTCGCTAAGGGCCACCTGCCCTTTTTCTTGAGTTCCTATCAACAGGCCAACTTGGGTCCTTTCCATAAATAATCAATTTCCCCCCTTCTTGCTAACTCCTGGCTAAACCCAGCTGATTCTGCTGTATCCACAAATGAAAAGTAATGAGAACAGGGATTCGTGAGGCGAAGATTATTCTTATTTCACCCTTTCTCTGTCACTCAGTGAACACCACATACTCTTAAGCTAGACAGACTTGGGTTCCAGCTCCAACTCTGCTTCCTAGGTGAGTAATCTGGGGCAAAAAGTAACCTTTTAAAGCCTCAGTCTCCATGTGCAAAATATAGACAATAATTGCATCTACTTCAGAGGATTGCTTTGGGGAATAACTAATAATTAGGTAAAGCTCTTAACATGTTCCGTGCATCGTGAATGCTCAGAAATTTAAGTTTTCTCACTGAAACCTCACAACAGCCCTATGAGGCAGGTACTATTACTATTCCCATTATAGAAACTGGTCCCCTAAGAGCCTAAGGAGCATGCTCCAGACCATAGGCAGTCAGTCATCAGAGCCCATGCTCTAGCCATCATGCCTTGCAGCACCCAGAGATCAGAGGTGAAAGGAAGACCTAGTCTGTCTTTTCACAGAGGAGACTTTGGACCAGAGAAACGTGGGCTGGATCCAGGAGCAGCACTGAGACCTGAGGACCGGGGTGCCCATGCTCCTTCCCAGCTTCATTGCACTGTGTCTTCCCAGGTGGACTGTGGCCTTCTGATAGAGGACTTCAGGGGCACCTGTGACAGCGAGGAGGGGTGGGCAAGGCAAAGGGAAAGGCTAAGATGGCTCTGCCCTGAGCCATTTACTCCTGTTCATAGCAGCAATTCCTCTTTTCTCACGTTCACATATGGGGCTCCACATATGTTTTTATTTCTGGGGGGAGGGGAGGGCAGGAAGGGACTCTGCTCATGCAATAGAAGTTTGCAAACCACAGACATGTCCTTCTCTGTGTTGAAGTGCAAACTCCTATTGTCTTGAGAACTCGGGTGCTGGCATTTTCCACAGGAGCCCCTGAAAGGACAGGGTGGGGAGCAGAGCCATGCCTTCAGCAACGGGAGCCCTGAACTTAGGGGTCTATGGAGCCCCAGGGGACACATGGGCTGGCCTCTGGAATCCGTGATCTGCTCGGGCTGTGTGCAAAATTCTGGG